CAGATCTACAATCCAATATTAAGTTTACGTTTTTACGGCGTTTTTTTTTACTTGAGATTATCCCTGTATACTTCGATTTTTTGTCGCATCAGCGTCATAAAGTTGCCAAATCAAAAACCAAATTGAAAATCAAAAGCTGCTTTGCTTTCAACTCCAAAACGTTTCTGAAAAGCTACATTTATTCGAAAGCTTCGCTTCGCTTGGCTCCTCTTCCTGTGTATGCGTACCCTAAGCGTTTTGAACGGAAAGGATTGAAATAACTTTTGATAGATCATAAATACTGATGTCCTCTTTTAATGAATACATTTATGGAAGTTTTCGAACAAATCGTGTTTTGTCATACAGCTACAAAAGAAATACTGAAACAATCTTTTGCTTAGTTGGAACATAGATTTTTAAAGACTTGCTGAGTTTCACTTTCATAAATCAAATCGAAATTTCTCATGGTCGGAATGTTTCTAGATTATTACCGCATATGGTAAGTAAATATACGTTATTCAATAGCTTCTCATGTGACATAAATCTTACTAGTATACATACATACCTAAGTACGGCAATAATTTAATAGCATATTTCACTCACACACCCATAAATAATTTTGCAATCAGGATTTCGCATATTTTTCAAAATAGCTTCGATATTACTTTTGCTAAATTTTTGATTTCTTTTTCTTCAATTTCTGTTAACACTCTTAACCTTTTCGCATTTATTACTTGTGCTCTATTTCTCATTTACTTTTTTCTGCAAGTAAAAAAATTACCAACACTTCGTTTGCCCGAGAAAACTGTGACAAATTACATTCAATAATTCACTTTAAAAATCTGCTGGAAAAGCACATTGCGAACGAACGTGCGAAAGCGCAAGCAAATGTTGAAAATAATGCCGAAAGCAGCGATAATGATGGACGAAGAAGGTGGTTGGAAGGAAGGAGGAAAACAAGAGGAAAGTGTGAAAGCCAAAATAGGTAGATTGGATGACGATGGAAAGATGAAGATGAGTTTAATGTGCAACATTTTGCAGGCGGCGGAAGTGTTGACTGAGTGTAGCGGCGTTGCCGGTGGAATTTACAATAACGCTTGGTGGCAATGACTGTCAGCTGTTCACTTTGTTTTTTATTCTCTGTCTTTTTTTTTGTTGAGCAATTTTTTGTTGTTTTTTTAGCTGCTACTCTGCTGCAAATGACACTACTTTAGCGGATTAGAGGAGATTTACACGTTGCACGAGGACTCGCGCGAATTTCGATACAGTTTTAATTTGAGGGGCTAAGTAGGCAAGTTGAATAGCCGGAGATTATTGAAGAAACTTAGGAAGCTACATATACAGTGGTTGAGAATGCGAATTTGAAAGCATACCTAATGTCTACATTTTTTATTATCTATTCTTCCAAATACAGAAAAATGTTCTAGCAAAAACAAGCAAATTTTTAGTAAATATAAAATAAAAACTGGTAGCTCTTCCCGTTAAAAATTTAAGAAGTAACGAGAAAATTCTTAATAGCAAAAATAAAAAAAATATTTTTTGCACAAATTTCTCATATTCTACCCAATTTTTTTTTATTAATTTGCGTATCTAAAAACATTCCACACAAATAGTTTTTTTTCTTTTTTTTTAATTAAAATTTTGAAATCAAAATATTCCGCACACGAAGTTTTAATGGTTCCAAAATTGCGGCTATCTTTATTGAAAAACTTTTGTGGAAAACAACAACAATTTAAAAAAGCTCTTTGTTTATTTATGTCATCATTTGGGGTTTTATGGATTTGCAACTTTTCTTAAACTTCGAATGGAAACTCCGCTGACCTGCGGTAAATTTTCTTCTTTTTTAGCCCTTGGCACGAAATGTTGCGAAAGGCATTTTTTGTAAAACTTAAAACAAAAAAACGTTGAATAGCTGTCATGTAAACTTAGAGAAAATTTTAATTTTTCTCAAATTAAATTACGGAAAAACCAAGGCACATTAAACAGGTAGTATCAGTAGAGCAAAAACAACATTTGCGTGTATTTTGTTGTTGCTTCTGGTATCGAAAGTGTCAAAAACTGTTCTGAATTTTTTCTTCTAAATCAAAGCGTGCCGTGTGAAATACAAAAAATTATAAAAAATAAAAAATTGAAATTGGAAAAAATAAAAATTGATGCAACTTTCTTTCCTAGTAAATTTGTTTGCTTCTCGAAGCATAGATCCATCCTTTGCAAGGCCCAGTAATCAGCGGTCGTGCTGCCGAGTTGGGCGAACGTTCCAAAAGCTGCTATTCAATCGCCTTCCGCTTTATGCCGGAAGATTTACAATTGTTACGTTCTACTCCCATAAGAAACAGAGTAAACATACCGCCAATTTGACCAAGTTGCGGATACATATATGTGTGTATAATACGATGGACAATCCATGGTGCCGCAGCTTAATTTGCGCTAAACACACATATATATATTAGCACAGATTTTTTATAATTTTGATGAGGGTGCAATATTAGCACCGAAAGCTAAAGAAATAAATTGACATAATACTTATCAATTTGGCTCGTAGATATCGTCTTTGGTTTCATCTTCAAATATTTTTATAGGTTTTTGGAATTTCTTGTTTTTTAAAACAAAATTTTAATTACTAAAGTTTAGCATTTTTTCCTTCTTATAAGGAACTTTTTATTCGTGTTTTAAAAAAATTTATATCTTTTATTTTTTAATTTCTTAAAAACAATTTAAACATTTTTTTAAAAAATCATTATTTTCAGATTTTCTTAATTTGAAAACAAACTTTTAATTACTAAAATTTAACAAACTATATGCTTATATATGTAGATAAATATATCCTTAGAGGGAATTTTCGCGCTAAAAGTTCTTGTTTTGAAGTTTTAAAAATACAGTAAATTTGACTTGATTTTTCCCCGCTACCGTTTATTTAAAAAAGTTTTCAGAAAAAAAATCTCGACAAGTTTTTTTTTTAAATTGAACTTGCTCTAACAAAAAAAAATACTTTAGAAAAGTTTTTAAATTTCCTATTTTTATTTTTTTCGAAATTATTTTCTTTAAAGTTTCACAAAAGGTATAGCACTTTTTCATTTATAAATGTCCCTTTTTTTGCTAAAGAAGAAAATAGTTTATCTTTATTGGGCTTTTTAAAACGGTTTTGCAGGTAAAATTTAAAGCCTACTTAAAAAACGGCCCTAAATGAAATAAATTTTGATTAAATTTTTTGTTTCAATCTTCTAAATAATTTACGTTAGGCTATTCTCTAGTCTTTTTACTTAAACCTTTTAGGAAAAATTTTTTAAATTTTTTCAATATATTTTTTTTCCAAAACAAAAGAACATTTTTTGATAACTAAATTTTCGACGGTTTTTTGCGCTACGGTCTGCTGCTGAAAGTTTTTCAAACATACATATTTTCAAAATACTTTTTTTAAGTAAGAAATTTCAATTATTTTAAAGGATTTAAATAATATTTACTGTTCACACCTTTCACTTGTGTTTTTGAGTACACTTAAGTACGTTTTTCGTGCCATTGTCTGTTAGAGAAAGATTTTCTGTAGTAGTTTCCGAAGCTTCTTAATAATAAATTTTTTGAAAAAAGTTTCCTTCTTGAACATATTTTTCTGAATGAAGATTTCTCAAAAAAAAATTTTACCAACTTAATTTTTATATATAATTTTTCATAGGATTTTACTAAGTTATTGCTGCTACGCCTGTATCCAGACTTTATTTTCCTAAAGTTTCAAAACAGTTTTAAAACTATGTCATATAATCTTTCATATCTATGTATTAAAATATGTTTTTACTAAGAAGGCTTTTCCAACACAATGTTGAATTTTTTGAAAATTAAAATTTACATTGCATTTTTTTTATTTAAAACCCTTGTGTGATGATTCAAACCTGATCTTCATAAAAGCTTTTAACTAGGGACGGTAACGGTTATGGTCTTTATAATAAGAATCTTATTTCAATGATACAATTTATTTTTATTTCTCCGAACAAGAAATATTATTTTCAGTTTTAGTTTTTTTAGATCATGAAATACTTAGTGCGGTCAGGAACACGCAGGCCCATCGTAAGGGTTCAAAAATTATAACTCTTAAGTTTTATAGAAACAAATAAAAAAAAACTTAATTTAACGCCAAAGTTAAAATAAAACACCATTTTGCAATGATTTATTAGTAAAAATCCTGATCTTTAACGTTTTTTTTTCTGTCTCTGCTTTAACATCGTTTTTCCATTTACTCAAACTTACAAAAACTTTTTAATAAAAAAATATCAACATTTTTTCTATATTTAAATGAATCGGGGGAAAAAAAAATTCTTATCATTTTTTGCTTCATATATGTACATACATATTTTTTCAAATAGTAGGTACTTTATTTTTACTAAAAAAATTTAACTAAAATATGCGTGAAAAACAATTTAAACTTTTTCATTTAACTATTTTTGATGCTAGAATATGTGTTGGTTTTGTTAAAAATTTGAAAAGGTTGTTTCCGATAATAACTAAAAAATTTTCGCTAACTTAATTTTCCTGTTTTTCATGATTTTTTAAAAGAATTTTGATTGTGTATTGAACTTGAAAACTTTTTTTGAAGTACTTAAAAAATAAATGCTTTTTGTTTCATCCCTATTTTACTTTTAATAGAAAAAGTTAAAGAATTCCAAATGAAAGCATTTCCGGTAAAATTTATTTTCAATTCATTAATGTTTAGCGTTTTTTTTCTGTTGAATTTCAACATTTTTGAAGCCTGGATTTTCAAATGTAATTTTTCTCGCAAATTTATTTCGCAAAATAATATTCTTGACGCTTTTTTTCGAAAGCAAATTGCATCAAAATCCTTTTATTTTCGTCAACTCATTTAAAGAAAATGCAAAACTCTAAATAAAAATAGTTAGTTTTTCTTTCAGATAAAAACTTAAAGCGTCTCAATTTTATGCAAAATACATGTATTTTTATCACTATTAAACACAAATAAACATTTAAATAGCACTAAAATTGCACTAAAATTCCATCGCAAAAAATCTGCACACCTTTTCCAGCTTCGTAGTAAATATCTGCGTAAGCTTTAAAGCCTTAAAGCACTCACTTGATGAAACACGTGTGGGGTATTACCGGCAAAATTAAAGCGTAAATGCGCGACTAGCAACGACGCGTCTACGAACCGTTCGATTTTGCGTGCGTTTCGTGGTAATTAAATTAAATAAATTCTTAAATTTTTACAGAAAATTCTTTTGTTTTTCTTCTGCTACACAGCGCTTTCCTTCACATATAATTAAGCAATCAATACTTTGCAGCTAACTCTTAGCCAGCTATTTTATAGTAAATTCTTTAGATTTCTAGATTTTTTTATTGATAGATATTGCGCACTTAAAACCATTTATTTTTTAAACACACATTTCTTTTTCGCTAACGCCAAAACGACAACGACGAACGATAGGATACAATACGACACAATAGAGAAAACACACAACGAACAACGAACGTATATCCGCCTTGCTAAAGGAATGCGTTTACAGCGGCTTCAGCCACACAACTGTCGTAGCAAGCTGCCAGCGAAAGTGCGCTAAGTTGGCGCCTGCCTGTTGGAGCTCACATCGACTCGTAGCTTTGTGGTGTGTGCTGTGTGCCGTATGTTCGTGTGTATATCCGTGTGAGTGTGGGTGTGTACGTGTGTATGTCCTGCGAGCCATGCTGTGTTGCATCGCGCTGTATTTGGCCCACAACATACGAAAACAATTCAGTGCGCTTCGGCACAGCTTCGTTCGATGCTATAATAGAGGTAGCGGCGCTGCTGACGTTGACTGCGCGTTTCCTTATGGAAATATGCTGCGATTTATTCACCGACCACTACCATTTCGGGTTTAAGATATATAGTCAGCTTGAACGCCAACGTCGCTGATTACGTTTGCGTTTAAAGAGCATAATGCTCAGAGTAAAAAATAGTTGAAAACCGCGCTGCAATTATGGTACAAAATATTGAGGAAACAGGTTAGCTAGGAATCAAAGTACTTCACTTTGCTGAGCGAAAGTTGCAGTTTTCTCGCCGTTTTCCTCTCTCACTCTCAACTATATTCTTCTGAACCATACTTTCGAAGTGACGTCACAGAAAAGCTTAGCGCATTGAAATCATTGGATACAATGAATTTTCTTAATAATCAAGTAATTTGATATTATAATCTCAAGCGCTAACGCTGGTTCTAAAGCTACACTTTATAGAAATTTGTAATGCAATCTGTACACTAGGCAGATATTCATAGCAACAATCATAGAGGGTAACAAGATTATTAGGCCTTTTTCGCTTTGGAAATATTTTCTCAAACTCCCAAGCGTGTTACTCCACTTCGAATCAAATACCTGAGAAAAAAGTTAACGATGAGTTGAGCAGCAAAAAATTGTATTTCCTTTTCCAAAAAACCTAATCAGGATCTTCAAAGAAAGCAATTGTATTCCCTTTTTTTTTGCCCTGCAGTAGCTTTGCGGCTTGGGCTGAAGATCAAAAACTTCCGCGAATATTTTTCCCCTTTGCAAGTGTTCCACCAATTTATCTTGCTTAGTAGAGGCAGGATCCTCTTCACTTTGTCTTTCCAGTGTATTCGAGGCCACCCTTGCTCCAGCCAAGAGTGTCCCTTTCTCCTGCTCCTCTAACATGGAAATGCTACGTTTATGTCCCTGGTGTTGATACCACCGCTATCTTCTGATCTCTAACTGATTAGGTCAAATAAGTGGTTTCATGAATGGAGGCTCATCTTGTCGTAACTGATATAAACAACAAGGTGTTCCTTCCTTGTGGATTGGGAAAAGCGGTTATATGTATATATATTCATCAGACTCCCTCCGGTCTTGAAGTTATCTTATTGCTTCAACAACAACGCGACGATATTCATCGCTGATAGTAACTTGCTACCTCTTCCACTGCGATGCGAGAAGATCGGGAAATGACACCCACTATTAAGTCTTATCCAGGCATTGAACAACTACTTCTTGGTTGAAGGTTGGGAAGGTTCTAGATCGTCCGCTGTAATCACGCAAGAATAGGAAAATAAAGTAGTCATAAATGTGTGGAACGCTCACCTTATGTCGCACTAGCAGATGGAATCACAGGCCGCGGGAAGCCCGTTCAGAAATGTGGGTCAACACCAAGTCAATGTTCTCTGAAAGGGTGGGTGAATACCTGTTTGAAAGGCCCAATCACCAGCGACCGCAGGTTTAGAGCATCAATTTCCACGAAAGACCCGCGCTAATATGGCCAAGTTCCGGTCCAGATATTGTAGCCGACTTGAACCGAACTTCCCCAAAGAGCGTCATGACATGTGAAACACGACACGACAGCAATCACCCCTTCACATGTCAGCTCAATCCCACTCAGCTGTCCCTTTGATCTGACCGCGTCGAAATAGCTCGTTTCTTGTGTCTACCGTTAATTTAGCTTGACGACAACAATTTATGAACACACTGAACTAGGCCGGGCTTAATAGTGTCGCTACAACAACAAACACAACCTGTTTGATAACCCGGACAATCCCATTCCGCGATTTGACCCTAGAGAGTATCTGAGGGGTTGTCGGATGTTCAAATGTATGTACATAGAGATGTGATTTGTAGGCAAGTCCTAGGTAAGCGCGTATCCGTCATTGGATTGGCCTGGGAGAGTGTGAAGATCAAGCTAGTCCCGACCGATGAGGTACCTAGAAAATTCAGCTCTTCGTACCTTCTGAGATTATATGAAAAATGCATCGAGCCGTTACGGAAGGTGGAAAATAAGCTTGCCGCGCCAATTCGCCGATGCCGGAAGCTGACGACAGCCAGTTCTTAGGTGACATGAGTCTCAATGCTAACGCGGTCGAAGGAGCTGCTGAAGTTGTCAGTACTGAGATAGTTCAGGAAGGTTGTTAAAGGGACTCTGGGGCCTACTAAAATCGCCTCGGAAAACCTGCTTGCCTTCCTAATGGAGGAAGACATCGACATTTAATCAATTCAGGAACTTTCGTTATGTGGCTACAACCACTTTTTATAAGGTTATTAGGTAAAATCATAGCGCTTATATTGCCTAAAAAATATGCTAAGGCTTTCTGTGTTAGCAGCACTCCATATAAAACTATCTGTTTTAAATCCGTCAGTCTACATGGCCTACGACTGGCCGTTTCCACCAAACCAAAATCAAAACTTCGGGGTAAATAATACTGGATAGCAAATTTGCATCGAAGCTAAATGTTGAGGAAAGGGCGAACAAAACATGTGTTGCTCTCAATGCATGTAAAAATATGCTGAGCAATACATGAGACCGGTCCCCGAGTCTAACACACTGGGCATTCAAGGCGATTGTGAAACCGAGAATAATACCGGTGCACTAGTGTGGTAGGGAGCAATGAACAAGAAGACCTATAAAAACGTATCGATAGGGTGCAAAGACTACCGATGATAGGAATAACGGTATCATTGGGGACTACGCCGACAGCTGCGCTGAGCGTCATCCTGCACATGCCTCTAGAAGATTTGGCTGCTGACAACTTAGCCCTGAAAACTGCAATGCGGCTCCATGCTACTGGTCGGTTCCATTGCAGATCATACGGTCATAGTAGTTCGACAAAATCCCAAAATTCACAATTCTACCTAACCTAACCAACCCTAGTAGGCGACAGGATAGCTTCAGAATGAGCTGCTTAGTTAGAACCCCTACACCGGTAGAAGGAATGCCATTCTTTGCTCAGTCTGGAAAGATAACCATTTCCTCCATGCACTTGGTCCCTTTCCGAATCTTGGAAATTCTGTTCGATGTTTGTGGTAGGTCCGGGTCCTTGATCTTCGGATTGAATTACACGGCTTTTCATTTTTTACAAGTCTTATATCACAAAAAACATCCAATTTCCTAAAACCTAAAAAAGTTAATAGATTGGTGGGCTATGAAGTGGTTGTAAATGATTATAAACTTGAGAAATATTTAATAAGCATTGGAGGTTAAAAGTGAAGACTACTTATTAATTTTCTATTTTCAAAATGCTATATTAAATTTTAAATTGTTGGTTTAAGTGTCGATTTATACGGAATTTGGTAAACTCTCCTAAAAAAGCTTTTTAAATAGACTCTCAATATTCCAACAGACTGTTCTCATTTTTACTCTCGCTCTCATATCAGAATTTGTGGTGTACTGGTAAAAAAGAAATAGCTTAGGCATTCTCCTCTGCATTAACGACATACCACCCACACAGCCTGGCAGCACGGATGCCAACTTTGACTACAACTCCGCTGACAGTACAATGCACACCGTCAACGTAGAAGCAGGCAAGATAAAGGAGCGGAGCGCAAATATTCAACTAAAACAGGAATATAAATCAACACAGAATTGAAGGCAGGCAAAAAATGGGTATGCAATATTAAAAATGAAATAAAATGAGGAATAGAACACAAGAAAATAAAAAAAATTGCGACAACTTACGAAAAAGCAAGCCAAACGATGTGAATAGCAAAGTAGAAAGTAAATTGGGAAAATCCAGTGAAATTCGATGCAAGGCAAAACAAGCACAAGCAGGATGGTCAGGATGTTGGAGCATGTGTGGGTGCTGGGATGAGCAAAAAATGCACTTAAACAACAACAACTTGAAGGCAAATATGCAAACAACAACAAATATGATTTGCAGCAACAAACAAAAGGCAATTAGTAGTATTAGTGTTAGTAGGGAAATCGCGCTAAGTGAAGTTAGTACATGAGTGCATGTGTATGTATGTATCTGTGTTTGCACAGAAGCTGAAGAAGTTGGCGAAGGCGAATAAAAATGAAATGAACAAGCGAACACTGCACTGCACTTGCTGCCGAAAAGAAGGAAAGAGAAGGCGAATGTGAGACTGAGACTGAGGCTGAGGAGTAAAGCGAAGCAAAGCTGGTGGATGAAATGAGTTGATGGAGCGCCTAACTGAATAAGAGGCAATATAGGAGGCGAAAAGGACGACGATGGCAAACGGCGGGCTAAGCACCAGATGCGGTGCGGCTGAGGAGTGGCGAAAAATACTGGCTGTCATGCAATAGGCCTACGAATAAACGGCGACGACAACGACAACGGCCTAACGGCGCAGCAGCAGTAAATGCAACGACCGCAACAGCAGCAACAACAACAAGAGTATGAATTTACAAACAAGAAAAGAAGCACAGAAATTATAACAAAAACAAACTAAGTACATTCTAGGCAGCCAAAAGGTGGAAAACAGCAGCCGAGGCAAATTCCTATACACAGCGAAGCAGATTTGAAAGATTGCCAAAAACACGAATCCACGCCGAAAAGGAAGCAAGTAAAAAACAAAGCAGCTGAAGGGTTGGCAAGAAGAGCTGTGGTTGTATAGAAATATGAAAAATAAGAGCAAAAAATTGTGAAAACTAGAAAAAAAACACATAGTAACGCGGCGAATAGCGTGAGCAAAGTAATTGATATGATGAATGTGTATGGGTACTAACTTGTCTGTGAAAACAAAAAGTAATAAATGCTCGGCATGCAGTATATATTTACTTGAAAGCAGCTTATGTAATGC